TGGGCAGGAGGTGAAGGCAGCACAATGCACCTTTTAATACAACCCCAGCCCAGGGGGAGCGACCGACTCCGGAGCACAACACAAACACCGCAATTCCCTGAGAAAGGCCCGCAGGACAGCACAGCTAATGCTGCTGCTCCGCCCCAGGAGGTTATGGCACAGACCAACAGCCTCGGGCACCCACATCGCCTTCCTGCATGGTAGCCCCGCTGGAGGGCCACATCCAGAGCCCACGGAGGAGCGAGGCACCTGGGGCCAGATCCCAGCACAGGGAGGAGAAAGCCTCTGTTTCAGCCTATGGCTTCCATAGATCCTCTCCTTCCTCGCTCACGTATCCGAGCACCTACCACAGTCAGCCGTGTTACTTTACGGCCGTGGCATTTCTCGTCTACGGTATGAGAACAGGATTTCCATCTTGCCAGAGAACCTGGAACGTGACTTGCTCCACCAGATCGGATGAACATGGAACGTGAACTGATCGTGGCAGGCAGCCACTTGGATTTTCTCAGTTTTGGTAATTGCTGTACTTTAAAATGGAGAGGCCTAAGATTTACCATTAGGTATCTGACTAAGTTTTATACCATAGACAACTTAAACAAGGTGTAATCTTTCCCCATCTTGCAGATTAAGATCTGCACCCTTGGCACAAAGTACCAGAAACCCCTTCTGAAATTTTTTTTGTTGATGATACAAGTCTCAACCCCATCAGGCCAATATCTATTTACTGCTCTTCCTTCTTGCAGTCTAGGATTTTCCCCTTCTCCAGAACACATCCACAGGAGAAATTCATCCAGACACACTTACTTGGTCCTTTTATAGTCACACCGAGATCTCCGCTTCCTGCTGCTCTTGTGTCAACCTTGAAGTCTGCTGTTTCCCTAATCCGGACACCTTTGGGTTGCAGGCCTCTACCAGTGGCACGACAAGCATTTGGATTGCAGGCTGCAAGTGAATTTCAGCCATCAATACAGTCTTTGATACTCAAAATACACGTAGCCTAGCCAACTTGGAACAACCTCGAGTTAAATGTTGACTCAGAGCAACTACAGCTTAGCTTTCAGCATAAGCCTTTATGTTACAGTATTAAGCAAAACAGATAGTCTGTCTAGCCACGGTATATATCCCACAGCTTTTGGGCAGTAGCATTCAGCACAGCCAGGCAACGCTGAAGCCCTATAAGAGCTATTTTTAAAATTAAAGCCAACTCTGAAGCCACGCCATCTCCGTATTTGATGCCAGCTATCAGCATGAAACCTTTCTGTGGCTATCACGTTGCAGATATTTACTGTACTAGACACCATCTTCTTGATGCCTTTCACTTTTACCGGCAGGCTGCAGCATAGGGTGAAGTTTTCCTTTGCAAATAAGCCCTAGCGAACAACATTATCGTGCTGTCCCTTCAGAAGCACAAGACTTGAGTAAAAGCTGTTAGCCAAGCCAAGCTGTGAACGCATTTCTTTAAGAGATGTAAAGTCAGGACCCTCTGTTTGTTGCAGTCCACACCTACGGAAGGAAAGCCATCAAGTCCTTTACAGACTGAGGCACTGTGGCAACACCATATACTTTGGGCAGGTGCAGATAGTTGAGGTAGGGACAGTAAGTTACACATTGCTGAGCTAAAGCTTACACTTGCCACCTTTACTCTTCGAGTGCTTCTCCAGGCCTGCAGAGTTTCTGCATAAATAAGCTAACGTGCACTTATGAACAATTTTTGTTACACAGTCCCAGCTATCAGGTGGTCTTCAATTCCAGAGATCTGAAGGGTGTGAAGAGTCTTATAAAACACAATTTCCCAGTCATTTAAACCCCAACGTGCATTTTCCCAAAACATATGCCGTGCTTACTGCAGAAGCACAAGAGTCTGCCAAGCGGCTCATCGGCTTATAACTTCTTTCAATAGCCTACAAGTTTTACCCTCGTCCCTGCGGCAGCCATTTCACTAAACGTCCTACACTGGACAGTATAAGCAAAGATTGCATGCCATCTGCTAGCTCTGAAAACTTAGCAGGAGCATACAGCAGCGAGCCTAACTCCGAGTGGGAAAGGTCCAAAGCGTCCTTACACAACTGAGTCAGGCAGTTTGTGGTTAAGCAGTTTCACCGACTGGGTCAGACACTGCTTCAGTTTGCTTGCAACTTTCTTCCAACCCCAACAGAAACAAAACCCTTTTGGCTTGGATAAGCTGCAGGCTGGAAGCTTACAAAGAGCAAACATGACACAGCATCCTGCACGCCTCTTACCAACTATGAAGCCATTAGCAGTGAAGTCCAAAATTCCACAAATGGAGGGTAGCTCAGGAGAGATGAGCAGAGATCTAAAAGCGTAGGAGCACGTAAGGATGGAATAGAAAGCAAGTTAGGTGTCAGTTAAGGAGGAAAACAGTAAATATAGTCATTTGAGGGACAAAGGTGGAAAACAGCAAGACACTGCGTAGCTGCATAAAACACTTTAAAAAAATACAAAGGGCAGCTTAACATTCAGAATTCTGGCAAGAAAGGAAACGCTAGCAACGAAAGCCATATTACTGTTAGAGAGCACTGTCTGAACCAGTTGAATAGTCAGGTGACCCAATGAATCAGGTCTAAGATGCTGAAAGGTACAGAAAAACGTCCATGGCAAGGTTCAAGTATATTCTGTAATCACATTCAAGGTGAATAGCAGCCATCTATATTTAGATGCATTTTTAAAAAGCATACCCTCTCCAACAAGAATATTGCAAGGAGTTTTGGGAATTGCCTCCCCAGCAAAAGTCACTCTGACAATGTGAGGACCAGCTTGAACAGGTTTGTAGATACAACGGTAGACTTGGTTCCCTTTGTCTTCTATTGCAACTTCAGCAAGGTTTTTTCCTTGAGGATCCTCCACTTCCACAACCACATCACCCACACCAGCTCCTGAAAAGGAAACAAGAAGTTTCAGTGAGCCCTGGGACTCCTCAGAGCAATATACACTACACTCAGGATCACAGCCAGCCGTCTGCGCCAAGACAGTAATGCTCTGCTGTCACTGCTAGACACTGCCTCAAGTTTCAGCCTCTACTGACAGCAACCAGACATTCAGGTAGGATGGGGACGGCAGTGCCTTGTGGCATCTCCATGAAGCCAAACTGACAGGACTTTGCCACCCCATCCAGAGGGCTTCACAACAGTCTTACATTACTAGATACACATATGGTATAGTTACCCCATCGCTACCACCCGGGTAGCCTTACCACACCCTATTCCACAGTTTTACCAGGCCATTCATTTCTCTCAAGTTTTAAAGTGATTTAGAAAAACAATAACAACAACATTAAGCAGTTCCAAGTCAGAAATTTTTCACAGCGTACCGTCCCACATCAAGCCATGCCCCACTTTTTCTTCTCAGTATTATTCTAGTCTAATGGAGTTTGCTTCATTCACAGGAGTTAGATCAGCTCAGAAGATGAGCATGCTGGTCCTAATGCACGTCCTAAGGAGCATGCATTAGCATCCTTCTCTACCAGACAACACATATTCACTTTTGTTCAGACACCTGCTCCTCACACACCTTATTTACCTCATCATGCAAGAAAAACAGTTCTCCAGATGCTTTCAGAGGCCAGACATGTCTTTACATGATTCAGACTATTCCTTCTCTCAATTAGAGGCTGAATGTAATATTTCCCCTTGCTACAACCACATTTAATTTTATTTCCAAGCACCTTCAGGCAGAAGGCAATTTAAAATATGCTATTCAGCATATTTCAGTGTTTAAATACTTCAAGTAACTGCCCTAAGTAGTTTTACATTGTTCTAAATGGATTAGCATTTGTAGCATCTTATTGACTCATTCCTCCAGGCTACGGCATTGGCTTAAGAGCAGACAACAAGCCACAGGATGGAGATGCTCTAATGAAGAAGATAGCAGCCCTCTAATAATTACAAGAGAAGTTGAAACTGGTTTGTCATTGAAGTATGAACTCAAAGTACTACTGCAGCAGATCCTTTCAGTAAAGTTAAGTGTAGAACACATGAAGCATTTACAGTTTATTTAGAGCTCATCCTTCAGAGGCAGGCATTTCACATCTCTGTTTAAAATGAGTAGGGCGAGAAAACTAGCTAGGAACCTGCCTGGTGCCATCCAGCAAGTTCATGGCAAAGTTCTGGGTAACAGTTAGCATCTTCCCGTCTGTATTCAGCTCAGTACTTCAAATACTTCACACATAGCTGAAACCTGCAGAGCAGCCTGACTGCTCCTTCACCTCTCAACTTGATAGAGATGTAAGCCCTCTTCCACTTTTCAGCTGCAAACAGTATTTGTCTTTTGCTCCAAGGTTTAGGTTCTCCTCAAGTTTGAGGAAGCTGTAGGGCTTCAGCACTCATTTGTTCTGCTCACCTGCTGTGTAGAGGTCAAAGTAGGTAGGTTTGTTGGCAATGTTTCCTGTTGCTTCCAGTCCTGGTCCCTTTGCTGTTACTTTGCTTGCATCTCCCTGGGCTTTATCAACATTCACCTCGAATGGACTCTTTGAAATGTGCTGTCCAGCAAACAGGACTGAGACCTAAAGCCGTGTAAAGACAGCATCAACCTCGTATCACTGGAGCAGAGGCAGTGCTCAATCACCACTAGCTGCCTGGCAGATATCACTGCCATGCCACAAAGCACAGGGTTAAGCACCTGAATGGTTAGGGTAGAGATTTTAAGCCTCAGAGCAAGAGGGACCATGCATCAGATAATCTGTCCACACAGCCTAACTGCTTGCCCCTGTACTACTCATCACAAGGTCAGCCACACCAGCTAAGACAGTTAAACCTGGATGGGCCGATAAAAGGCAGATCATTAGCCAGCAATGAGGCAGCAACAAAGGCTGCATATATCTTGGCAGGCTGGCTGTAGGGACAGGCTCTGCCATTATAGGCAAGCGCTGAGTAATGGGATCATCATCATAAGCCTGGTTCTACAGGCCCCTGTGGACAGAACTGGGTGGGGAATCTTCTCTGCAAAACCCCTCAGGCAGAGAGTATCATCAGCAAGGAAATGGGGACAACCTACAGAACTAGTTCCAGGAGTTGCAGCAAGTGGCTCCACGTGAGAGAAGAGCCAGCCGTAGCACTGCCTGCAAGACCCCATCTCACCCAAACATCCACGCTCTTTCTCCCAAAACACATACCCCTCTCTCCTTTGAGAGGGGAACAGCCCATTAGTCCAGATGGAGAACTAACGCCACATCAAGTTACTTTTTCTTCAGTATGACCCCTGCGTGGCTGTTATGCCATTAGTAAACATGCAACAGCACGAGGCTCACTTTAACACCTAGCAAAGCAGCTCTTTCAGTAGAAGAATTCTGTTTATTCAACACAGAGCTTACCTTGTGAGGTCCAGTAACCTTTGGCACATACTGAACTGAATAGGTTTTGTTTTTGTCACTGGCTGGCATCACTTTTGCCTAGGAAAGAAAGAACATTCATGTCAGAGTTGTGCCTATGCACTACAGTCTAAGACTTTTCTCAGTAGCACTTGATCCTGAGAATTATTTCCATAATCATACATGTTTCTATGGGAGCAAGTATACTTGCTAACTCTCCATCTCGTATGGAAAAAAAGAATCATTGGTTTTGTCTTTAAGTGAGATGAACCAAGCCACCATTCACCCAGCCTATTCTTCTTTGCTATTAACTGCTATACTAAGGCCAAAGTTGAGGAAATGTTAAGTCCAATGTACAGCTGTGTTTTTCTGGAATGCCGTAACATGATCAAGTGGAGCACTTGGAAGAAAAGTTTCTATAAACATTAGAACCAGCACTTTAACTCAAAATGATTCATGGCATCTAAATAGCTGGTTTAGCCATTCTTGCAGAATGAGTAAGGGTAGACAATGATTTAGTGATGTGTGTTATCTAAATGCATATCAGCATGTACTTGGCCAGTCAAGCCAAAGCACTGCAACCACTGGACATTTAAGTTGCATTCCTTAGTTGCAGAGTGACATTTTTTTTACTCAAACTTTTCCAGTAAGGCAATTATGAGAAAAAGCTTAATGCTTGCTCTTTTGGTAGATGATAATTTTTCAACTTCTTTTGACATTACTTATCTGCTAAAACCTCACTTGTAAAAGAGAGAGGTTACTGTAACATCTTCAATGTTCAGACTAGCTTTAAGCTTTCCCCAAGAAATGTTTAACATACACACCTCTTCTCTGTTTCCTTCTGGATCCTCTATAAAGACCATTAGGTCTCCCTGCCCAGCACTGATGGTGTCTACTGTGAAGTTAGCAGGCTGCTTCACCATGTTTCCATGAGGCTCAATTCCTGTGAGGTAGGTGCAGAGCAGCAAAATTAGCTGTTGCTACAAAACCCAAAAGATAGTTTAGAGACTATAGTCAAGCTGTTCAACCTGTCCTCCCACACTAGCACCTGGCAGCCAACAGCATCCCAGGGCCACTGGATTATACCTATGCATCATCTACCCAGAACATCCAGCTCACCCTAACCCCCACTTTTATAATACAAGCAGTTTTAAAAATTGGTTGAATCAGTAAAACTCAACTCATAGCAGGACCTCTGGCAGAGTCAGCCTGCATCTGGCTTTGAGTGAAAGCAAGTTGCCCTGTTTGCTGGAGCAATGTATTGAGTGTCACTCCTAGAGCTGACTAATGGCCTTGCAGTTCAGGTTCGCTCACGGCAAGCGGGGTACGTGCAGTAGTTACTCCTCAAGAACTGTTCAGTCAGCACAGCTTGCTTCACGCAGCTAAAGCGGCTGTAATGCTGCTGCACCGCGGGCAGGGCAACTGGGGAAGCAGGGGAGAAATCTGGGGTGGCCTTCTGGTAAAGGCATCACCCTAGAGCCAAGGAAGAGAGATTTCTTTTTAAGTAAAACAGTTCTCAGCTATACTGTCCTATTTTCAGAACTTACTCAGTTGTTTAGACACAGCTCAAACTTCTTGTCTGAAAGCTGCTCAAACTACTTTGCCAGACTGAACACTGTATAAATGCTACGCAGAACCATCTCAAGCCATGAAAATCCTGCAACTCACTGCCGCTTCAGTTTAACTTTTAATCAGACTGTTTCCTTATTCCTTAGCACAGGGCCTGCTACAGCATGCCATTACCAGCAGTGTTTCATCATCCTTTTATACTTAGCCCTAGGTCATTACACCTGTCATGGTGGTGTCAGACCGAGTGGGTGGAAGAACTTCCCAAAGTTGCTAGTTCTAGACTAGTCCAAACATATATACCCTTCCTTCCAAAGGAATTACACATCAGCTTATTCATAAAACCATGGGCACCACTTCTCCATAGCACAATTAGTGGAAAATGCAAAGTCTGATAGATTATAAGGGAAGTGGCTGTGAACAACAGAATTCCTGAACTTGTTTATCTTCAGAAAACAATAACTTGAGAGCAATGCAAGGAAGATTATGTTTTTACTAGGAAATCTGAGCATTCTGATAAGGTGTTAACAATTGACATATTCATTCTTTCAAACTAACCCCTAGATTATCATCAAGTTTAAACAGCTACAAGTTTGCTCTGCATATCTTCAATCCACTGCACAAGCATTAGAATATAGTATTTAAGCCTCTCTCCTGAAGGCACAAAGGCACCGATAGATTATCCTCAGAAGGCAGCTTTGGCCAGGACAGCATTAGCAACGGCACTTTCTGAATAGCAAGGTTACAGCTGATCTTCTAGGTTCTACCATTGGGTGGTTAAACGAGAATTTGTAGCAACTGCATGCTCTTTAACACCTTCGTAGGCTTACTTCAGACAGCTAACCTAGAAATAAACTACAGCAGTAGCAAACATCACACTTGATGATCACCTTTTCCTGGAAGCCTAAAACTGTTCCTCTTTTGTCCAAAAGACCCTGTCCAGTCTACTAGTGAGCCATTGCTGTTACCCTGCAGTTCTGTCCCTCTATGTCTGGGCATACAATAGCCACACAAGCTTGTCATTTATACTCAGTGATTATACTCAGGCAATTAAGTTTGGGAAAATAACAATCTTTCAAGAAGAGCTATTCAACCATTATAATCTCCATTACAATGGCATCAGAGCACGGCATGCACAGAAGTGGGGGGGAAGATCTGAGTTCTTGGAAATAACATGAAAATGAATAAAGGCAGACTTGGTAGACTGATGCAAGTTGGTACCTGTAGCATAGATAGTTTGTATATTTGAGGTCTGACAAATACATCTTTGTATTTGTGCTCTGCTGCAGAAGCCACCGATAAAAGGACATAAAGCCCAAGTAGGATGAACTGCTAAACCTGCTTCTAACTATAGCAACTGCTCTTCAGTGAAGAGAAAGTGCATTCCCCATGCCTGTGCATTCAACTACTTAAATTTCAATTGAAAATCAAGTTGAAAAAACAACTAGAATATAGAAAGTTCAAGAAAGTCTCTTT